CACTTCTGCTTTAGCACTTGTTATGTTTTAACCACAGAGAAAATCCTGTTTATGGTGTGGATACTTGTGCTTGCCTCAGAAGAAGCATCTGGCTTTGGTAACTAAATATGTGAGATTTCAGAAATGCACATTGTCTCTAGCAGGGCTGATGAGATTGGTTGTTACTGAGAGGAATCTCAAAGCTACTGAATTGTCAGCGAATATTTATACCGTGTGACCCTGTAGCACCTTCTCATGGTCAGTGTAAATTTACATTCAGTATTTTATGTTACCATGTTCTTTAGAAACTAAAATTGAATTTTGAATGAATTCTCTGAAAGTGCCATAACTCCTTCAGCATTAGTACTAATAGATAGTTGCATATCTATAAAAGTGAGGTTTTATCTAAATCCATACTGTCTATTGTCTATCTGTCAACTGTTCTTCACCTAAGTGTACTTAGTTGTCTAACATTCACAACCTTACATCAGGGAAATGAGAAGAGGAATAGCTTTTATTGCTGATTCTAAATCTCTCATGCTTTTGACACTCTGGATATTTTATAAATTTCATTCTCACCCTAACTGTCCAGGTAGCACAGGTGCTGTGGAATTAACTTGTTCATATTGGGAGCCCCTGGTGGTCTAGTGGTTAAGGACGCGGCGCTGTCACCGCCGAGGCCCAGGTTCGATTCCTGGTCAGGACACTCCCCGGGCAGATGGAGCTCATTAGCCCTGTAAGGCAATCCATCTACGTCCTGAGGACCTCGCTGCCACCGTCCAAGCTCGCTCAGTTCCACGCACACTGTGTCTCACCTAAAAAATCCAATGTGCAGGCTGGAAGGTGTAAAGACCTTCCCCGGTCCTTCCTTCCCGAAGACTGGCCATTACATTGGTGCCTCAACACTCACCATTCAGATGAGACTTTTCACCCTCCTTTCATTAAGGTTGTTTTACTGATGGCCTGCAAATAGGTGCATCAGTGTAGATAAGCGTTGGAATTTGCAAGTGGGAATGAACAAGTGGTTCAGAAATTTCATAGGCCATTGGAGAAAACTCTCGGATTCTCAGACAAAAAAAAAAGTGAGAGATGATGTCCTGGTTCCAGCCAGGACAGGCTTAATTTTTGCAGTAGTAGGAGGGGGCATGGCTAGGAGCTGGAGGTTATTCTATTCCTCTTCACATGTTACAGGGGTGAGGAAAAGGGAATCCCTTCTGGGCAGAAGGGGTTGCAGTCTGGTTGAGTAAATGTGTGGGAGCTGTCCAGTTTTGTCTGTTATCAGGGTTTTTTTTCTGTGTGAATTATTTCTTTTGTTGTACCCTCTGTCATTAGTGTTGTTACTGATTGTTCTTGTCTCATTGCTGTTTCTGTTTGTTTTCTTATTTCGTTGCCTTTTACAGTAAATCGTTTTATCTCAACCCATGATCTTTGCATTTTGTGTCTCCAATTCTATTCTCCATGCCACTGCAGCAGGGAGGGGGCAGGGAAAGCAGGAGGAACAAGAGAGAGTGGTTTGGAGAGTCTTGGTGGGGCACTGAATTGGGGAGTCCTAAACTATGACAAATGTGAAATTATTCTTTCTTTTAAGTATCTGAGATATGTGGTTTGTGCTGGCAGATATTTGACCTAAGTGTGTGAGGTACAAATAGGTAGCTCACATGATTTACGTTTTTTTTCTAGATGAGTCTGGCATCAGGTGGAGCAAAAATCGAGCTTAAAATCCCTTAATTATTTAGATATTTGTGCAATATCCCTCTATTTTTGAGCCCCTTTGACTTCAATGAAACACTTTTCCATGTGAATTCCCATTGTTAGCACATGAGGTGGATGCCTTTGCCCATCAGTGAGAGTATTTTGATAGTGAAGTGCTAAATAATCAAGTTTCATTGAAAACCTAAAGCTAAACTTGCCTTTACAGACCACATAAGAAAAAGTAAGAACTATTCCTGCAAATGTCTTGTAAATATCCAGGCTTCTGCTATGTCATACATGTAAAATGTCTCTTGAATTAGTAGAACTTCTTTTCTGATAAATACCATTATGTCACTTCCAAGCAAAATTATTTTTATTTCTCATGTAGAGCACGAGGTGTTTTTTCTTTGGAAAACACTTATTTAAATTGAAGCTTCTCAGCAGTATTACTTACAGGAAACCTTTCAGCTTGAAATGCCCTGTTACACTGTGATTCTAAATAGATAATGCTTTAAAACTCCCACTAAATACTAGGAAACAGGTGGATCCTTAGCATGATGTAGTGTACTCCTTTCCCTACTCCTGAAACTTCAGGAAGGAAGCACGTCTGAGAGTGTGCATGTACATGGCTGTGTTAATGTGTATAGTGCATCTGTGCCTCCCTGCTGGTTTCTGTCTGAATTTGGCTCAGCCAGGACTCATCTTCCTTGTGTTGTGAGATTAAATGGCCTCAGACTCTCCCCTGACACCACACACATTGCCTCACCTGCTTGTATGTGCATGCCTTGCAAATACACAACATGACAGTCTCAGAAAACCACTTGAGTTTGCTATTCACACTCCTACAAATACTTCCCCAGCGGTGAGTCTTCTGAGGTTACATTTGCGAAATTTGAGATGTGGGTACTGACCTGAAAAGTATTTGAAATTCTGGCTTAAAAAAGAGAAAAGAAAAGAAAAACAAACAAACAAACAAACCCAAACAAACAAAACCTCAAACACCAATAAGCAAACCATAAATCCATAGGGATACTATTTGACTGTCAAGCTCAAACTCAGACTCAGCCATGCAAGACACTGCACACATCCTGGGAGGAACAGGATGCCACCACTGTCATTAAAGCAGCCTTTTCTGATGCTAGCCAAAGCCCTGCTGGGTTTTGTTTGGGAAATACAGCTATGGTCATTGGAAGGGGGCTGAAGGTACAGTAATTATACTGCTGTCAAATTAGTTTGAAATATTTTGACACAAATGCAAGTTGAATCTAAATGTACATCTCCACCTCAGTGAATTTACTGAGGTTTAAGCAGAAGGCTGTTAGTTTTGATGCTGGCCTACTGACAACAGGGAATGGAATGCCTTTTGCCTTTCCATTTGCCATTGCTGTTAGTCCTTGACTGCAAGCAAACAGCACCCAAAAGGCAAATTAACAGAGATGTTTTGCATTTGTCCCACTGTGTTCAAAGCTGCCATGGATATGAATGTATTTAGTAATGACCCTGAGAGAAGTTTTCATCTCATGATGGCTATCCATGACACTAAGTATTTCACTGAACTTACTGCTGCCAGGAATTCTATCCAGGCTATTTGCAATGCATTATCTCCAATTCTGATTAAATTTTTTTTGCACTGGTTGGATTCCTGTAAAAAGCCTGAAGTGGAATAATGTGACATTATTCCACCCAATTAAAGTGCAATATCACATAGTGAGCACATTCAGAAAGTGACCTGCGGAACTTGTTTAAATCTCTCTTTGAAATTTCAAATCTGAGGGGGGATTTTATTTGAGCCTTAGTAGCTTTTAACTGCCTGACAATTAAGCTGCTTGAAGGTCTGGCGAGTTTCTTCTCTTGTGATGTCTCTGTTATTGGAGTTCTTTATTAATATAAAATTTGATTTTTCTAAAATTCAATCATAAATACAAAAAAGATTGATCTGACACAAACCCTTCAACTGATGTATCTTTGCAGAAAAACCACTACTTCTAGACAGGCATTGCAAAAATGTGATTAACTATGGAATTTCCTATAAATGTAGCAGATAAAGTTCATTATTCACAAATTAAACTCTTGCCTGTTTTGGAATAAAATTAAATACTTCTATTCTGATGCTTTTTGTATTGCTTGAGATTACCAAGTCTTCTTCCTCAAGTGGTATCTCTTTAGATTTTTGTTCAGCACTTCTTCCACATGTGTTCTTAATTAAATATGCTGGACTACAAATCACTGATGGCATATTCCCTGGAGTATTGCACACATCTCTGGCCATCTGTAGTCAGCACTGAAGTAGCTGAACTGGGGGTATGATCTTTCCTCCATCATCCTGTTCTTACTGAAAGAAGTCAAAGAGGATGGCCAGTGTAAAATAGGCTATAGGGTTCACAGTTGCTGTCTCCAAAGTCATTCAAAACAAAAGGAGAGAGAAAGAGGAGAGAGTTGTTTATTCTAAATACACAAAAATGGCGGCATGAAAAGTAAACGCCTGACCTGACCACAACAAACTGTTTGCTGAAAATCTGTTAAAGGCTTTTTAACAGACTGAATATGAGAGTCTGCACTTGCCTTCAAAGAGAAGCCATGAGGCAGAACATGTGTTCAGTTTGAGCTGAATAACGATATGAATACTCTTGGAGACTGGGATTGAACTTCGTGACTTGAGGTTTCAAAGTGGATCCTAGAATACCTTTATATTCTTTCTTTTTTTTTTTTCCTATAAGTGTCCAAAGTGCTGTACGATATCAAAGCTACAATTCTAAATATGCATGTTAGGAAGGAAAGGAGGTGAGAATAATAACAAATTAAAAAAAAAAAAAATCACAATCAAAGAAGCAGTGATGAGTCAGGAATTTTCTGCTACAATTCCTCACTTCTCAGAGGAACCTTCCCTGGCTGCCTGCTACCTCATCTTGTCCACTCATTGTATAGGTTATCTTTATTCTGAAATGAATTTTTTTGTGTAGGGATCCCTGTTAACCCAGTAGAGCTTGCTTCCTCATATCTGCAGAGAGGGTTAGCTCTTGGTTCTTAAAACTGCATGACAGTAATTTTCTCCCCACACTGTAGGCAGGGGTATTAGCTCATGTTGTCAACTCTGTAATGCGCAAATTGTGCAGCTTCTAAATGACGGAGTAGCTGAAATTGTGGTTGTAATTCCTGTACATGTAGCTGAATATCATATCCATCACCATCGCCCTTTACTTTGTTTCATGCTTTAGGAAGCCTGTTAAACAAGTACAAATCTAAATGAGAGATTCAGATATCTCACACAGCAGACAAGATCCTAGTTTCTCTTGACTAATGTTCATCCTTATGTTTCCTTGTCTCTGCAGCTTCCCATTGCTGAAAAAATAAGGATCATTGCTCAGAAGGTGTATGGAGCACAGGATATAGAGCTGTCTCCTGTTGCACAGTCACAAGTTGATCGTTACACCCGGCAGGTAAGAACAGCAGTGAATTATGCTCTCAGGAATCTGCTGGATGAGAGTCTTAGGAAACCTCAGAGTGTAAAGTGTTCTCAGATTGGCGTGTTAAGTCAAGATTTGCTAAAAAGCATGATACCCATGATACTAAACTGTGGAGGTCCATATGTATTGGCTTAGATTAGATAGAACAGAACGGTTTAAACCTTGAAAGCTATCTCCTGTGATAGATGAACAGTGTTCAGAATATTTCTGAGATTGCTCATGAAACCATACTTTCTATGCAGTGTGATAATTTTGGGTTGCTATCTTAAAAGTGACAACTGCACGTCTGCAGAATTTGCAGCTAGCATGTGAGTGTTAATTTGTACCTGAAAAAAGGAGTTTGCAAACACGGAAGGACCTGTGAACAGCTATGCACATTAGTAACAAAGCTCCCAATACTTGTAAAAATCTTTTGTTTTCTTTCTGTTCATATTATTTTCAAGGAGTTATGAATACTGGAAGGTGAAATACATTTCTGATCCTAACGCATGTGGGAGTGGGCTTTGTATCACTTTGAAAAGTTCTGAAACCATGTGGAGAGGTGAATCTGTTTTCTGTAGTGGAATGGCTTCTGGACATAAAGTTGGCTGGAACCTTTCTGTCAGAAAGTAGGAACTATGAACGATGTGTCATGGAGAAATTCCAGAGTGTGCTTCAGCAGCTTGGTCAGACAGGCAGAAGTGTAGCCATCTTCCCTATAATGCAAACTTCCTGAGAATTAATTTGGTTTTTCTAGATCAAAAAGAAAATTAATTAGTGTACTTAAAGCAAAATTATCCATTTCTTTATGTTTCCCTGATGGGATTCTCTGATCCATATTTTACTCTAAATGTTAGTAGTATTAGGAAATTTTCACAATGTCATTAAAGGATTGTCAGCATTGGGCTGCAGTCAGTTCCCTGCAGTGCCTCCTCTTCTTCTGGCCTTGTGAACTGGTCCTGTTTGTCAAGGAATTGAACAGATGAGTAGAAAGTGCCTGACTCAAGATTAATCAATGGGGGTAGCTGCTTAGGATGTTGCCCTGATTTTCTCCAACATTTTCAGGAACTATTTCAGAGTCCGAATCCTGGACTCTGGTCTCAAGTAGGTGTCTAAGTAGGTCATTAGAGGCCAGAGGTAACTGCTGTACTGGAGTTTTATTAAGTTGGTGTAGGCTTCCTGTTCAGTGTGGTACCTGTTGTGCACCCTTTCTGAAAACAGCACACTTTAACTGGTGCATAGGTAACTTCTGCACCTAACTCTAGACTGAGAACGCACTCCAGAAGCTGGGTATCCCTACAGCCAAGTCTCTGAAGATAGAGGCCTGAGCTGAAAGAGAATAGCATATGAAATACAGTATTCAGTCCACTTCTGAAATATTATCTGTTATGAAACTGAGATTAACTGTTGCTATGTGGATTTTAGGGTTTCAAGAAGATACTTTTAACAAAACAAAAACATAATGTGTCTTTACTGTAATTTTAAAAATGTTTTTATTTTATATCCCTCTTTCATTAGGGATTTGGAAATCTTCCCATTTGTATGGCAAAAACTCACCTATCCCTCTCCCATCAGCCTGAGAGGAAGGGTGTTCCCACCGGTTTCATTTTGCCGATTAGCGATGTACGAGCCAGTATTGGAGCTGGATTCATCTACCCTTTGGTAGGAACGGTGAGTGCAAAGTATTCAGCTTGATCACTCCCCTTTGACCCAGCTTGACAGGGAAGTGCATTTCCTGTTTGCCACTAAAAATAACATGTAGAATCAGGTGGGTTCTTGTTTTTGTATAATAATCTTATCCTCAAACTTATTGTAGCTCTGCGTTGATAGCAAAAGAGAATTAGGAAAATGTAATATCGTAGAAGAGCTTCAACTGTAGGGTCTGAGAGAATGGCTCTTGCTGTTGTTTCTGTTTTTCGGTTAGTCTGGGATACTTATGCACCCTAATGCTGCATAAAAAGGAATTTACATGTCCTTTGCCTTTTCTTATTCAAATTACAGCCTGTAAGTAACTAGTTTAGTGATTTTATTCTAAATGTTAAATCTTTTCATTCGTCGTTACAAACCATATTAATGTATTTAGAGGAAAGGAATTGTGTTGGGGAACAGTGTATGATTAAAATGATTGCTTTTCAGCTGATGAGCCTGATCTATTTGCAGTGAATATCACTACTGGTTCTGTAAAACTAAGGTGGGAAGGGGTAGCTTTGTAAATGCAGAAGTAGTAGTACACTCTTTTCCTTTTTTAGAAATTTAAACAATGGCTTGATGGCATCAGGCTAAAAAGAGGCAATTGTCATCCTTTCTACCTACATATCCTTAAAAGTACAGACTCAGATTAGGAAGCTCCTGATACTTTTTTCCCTAACAGGGCTTATCAAAATAGCTGAGAAGTTAGTTAGCTCATGCCTATTGCCAACCAGGCACATCTTAATCCAAACAGCAGTTGAACTGCATCTGACATCTCATAGCTAGAGTTATTACTAATATGTAGCTGATTCATGGGATGATGCTAGAGGAGGGATGCAAATGCCATTGCATTTCCGGAAAGAGTACTCTCCCAATGTTATCTCATCTTCCCAGAGCATGGCCTGATTTCCTTGTGTAGCGGTACACTTACGAAAGGTTGAAAGTTTCTAATCTATTGTTTTGAATTCCCTCTGAAACAATCAAGTGTTTGAAACAAGGAAGGAAGTACTTTCTGACCAGGAGGGTTCCTGGAGTTCAGGAAACTGTGTCACTTTAACTCACTGGACTTGGGGATATGCTTTCCTTCTGCATGACCACATTATGCACATCCACCAGAAGCAGAATGCAGCTGTGTATTTGAATTGTGTAAGACCAAATTCCTATTACTGGTGACAGGATAAAATTTGTCAGAACTTCTAGTATCTCCTTCATGGCCTGGGTTCAAGTTTGCACTGTAAGATGTGTGTCGTGAAGTTGTGAGAAGGAGTGCATGTGAATAATAGGCAGCAACTAATTCAAATCCATCAAGGAGCTATTCTGTAGGATGTCAGAGTGAAATGTTCTTGGGTCGAGCCTTCTGAATGAGTCACACTTTGCACGCCTCACTGCGAACTAGCTGCAGTTCAGTGTCATAAATCCATAGGAACTGTCTGTAGGAACAGTATAGACCAAACAAGTTCAAGGATTACCTCTCATTTTCTGTTTCCACCTACAACCAAAAAATAGAGTTCTTATGAAGGACACTTTATATATGGGATTTCTAACTGGAGGAGATTGTAAAACATATATCCAAGTTAGTTAGGCTGACTTCAGCGAGAGCAGTGTTAGACATGGAACTTCTCCCATATCCTGCACTGGGTACGCAGTATACTCTCAGTGTTACGTGTTCCAAGAGAGTTTGTAGGGAGAAGTGCTGTATGACCATAAGATCCCCAAGAACTAAAAATGTGCATAGATAGACATCGATCACTGGCTGTTTGGAAAATATGACTAATGCTCAGGAATGTAGGACAGAACACTTCTTGGAATTATCACAATTGCTACAAATCAGAATGAATGAATTAATTAATTAATATGAATAGATTCCTAACATCCTTACCATTCAATTCCTTCTTTAGAATTAAATTTTTGGCAAGAGGCCCAACTTGCCAACTTTTTCAGAATTGAGAGTTGTGAACATCATGAAACAAACTCTGGTAATATAATTGTACCACTACTTTTAAGATCACTTTTCTAATTTGTCACCTTCAGATTTTTTGTGTGCGTTGTTCTCAGCAACTAAGTCTTAGGGTTAGTGTTGCTTTTTAAGTTGTGCAAGAAGGAATATTTTTGATGTCGGGTTTCAAAACTGAGAGCCTTCCTTTGACAATTCTCTTACTAATAAAGCTATCTGTAAATGTCTGCTAGAACAAAGCAAATATAAAAGGGCATGTCCTGAAGGCTTAAAGTGATTGGAAGTCAGATCCTATGAGTAGAGGGATTACAGATATCCTGGTGACAGCATGTGGTGAAAGCATCCAGTCACGACGGTGGATTAGATTTCTTTATATAGGAAAAAAAGGAGATGCATACATTTTTTTTCCTTTGATTACTTGCTAATTGTATTAATGGAAGAGGTTCCTTAATACCTAAGCTGCTTAGAACCTTCTTACTGCTAAGACCTTTCTAATGGCAGAAAAAAAATTTTTTTTTCATTAAAGTTGTAGTGATAATTCTGATGCTAATTAAATGTCAAACTCCATTCTCAAACCATAATTTTACTGGATGAGCTTCTCACACTCTAATCTAGCAGAATTTATCATTAAAGCGGGTTGTTAGAATTCTGCTCCTATTTATTTGGGAAGAGCATTACAAATGAGAGAAATAAGTACAGCTGAAAGATAATAAACTGTCTACAGTAACTAGCATTTGTAGTTTAACCTTGTCACTAGCACATATAAAGTAATGAGATTTGTATTTACCCCAGCACTCATAGGCAGTGATTTTATTTTTTCAAAACTAGATATTTAACATGTTGTCTTCATATTCTCTAAGCAATATTTGATTTGTGTTATGGTTGGCTCCAATTCCCTTACAGCATGGAAGTCTTTCCAGGAAAAATGAGCTGAGCCTTATCGGAGGAAATCAGCAGTGAAACAAGAGGTGTATTTAATTAACACTGGCACAGCTTTTATCCAAGTTCTCTGCGGCCATGACCCAGAGTGCTACATCACTCTCACAGGTGGACTGTTGATATCATTGCTTGGCTTAACAGAGTGATGGCAGGAAAGCTGCTGGAGTATATGTAGGAAACCAGTGAGGTCATTCACTAGCAATGCTTGGGTGGAGAATTATTAGATTTTTGTAGTATGTGTGTTTCTCTCCACCCCCACCCAAAAAGCCATAGCAGTTTGGTGCTTTCTCACATTCAGCCATATTTCTATTGTTCTCTTTCATGTAAGTTGCAAGAATGCAGGGAGGTCATAGAAGTAAAACCTGTTGTCTTTTGCCTATGTGAAGTGATGCTTCAAAATCACTGGTGCAGGTAATAAATCTGTGTTTAAATCACAGTGAGATTTTTAAATATGTACTACACTTTTCCAGCTGTGCACTTTCAGTTTAATGGGTTAAATTACAGGCCAGGTCTCTTTGAAAATATGTGGAGCTTTTTGGAGCTTCTAAATTCTCACAATGAACTGACATCCTTCAGATATCAACATATCTGAAAATAGGTCAGTCTGTTACAGAAATACTTTTCTCCCCATACAGAAAGATGTTCAAGTCTCTGGAACTAGTGCTGGAACCATATCCTTTGGGAAGGAAGGAACTCTTGGGATGGCCCAGTGTAGTTAGAAATCAGTGTATGGGAGCAATAAAGCCCTGAATCACTTGTGGGTGAGAGCGAGGACTGCCCTGCCAAAATATTATCTGAATATTGTAAGAGAGAGAAGACCTGGAATGTAAATATTTGTATGAATACTTTCAGAAGGAAAATATTGTTACCTGTTGAATAAATTTCTTCTTTCTTGATTATTAAGAGCTTAAAAAGTTTTGAGAGTTTCTATTGAACATAAGATGGAGTCTAGGCCACCTAAAGTGAAATTGCAATTTTCCAATGCTGCTTGAGGCCCAGGTTGTTTCCAAACTGTCACTTCTCTCAGGTGCTTTTATGGGACAGATGAATAGTTATTGATGAATTGCCAAAATCATCCTGATAATCTTTGTAACACAGGGTGATGATTCAAAACCATAAGTGATGGTGAGATTTATATTTGCCTTGTAAAGCATTTAGCTTACAATTCAATTTTATATTCTTTACAAAGGAGTTAGTGCTCTGCTAGGTATTCTGATCTGTCTCAGTCCAAAAAATGTCCCCGGTGATGTGGCATATGGCACCTGCCTTTGGTAACGTGTAGTTGCTGTGTTGTAGCAGTGCTCAAACCAGCTAGTTATAAAAACGAGGTGTTCACAGTCTCTGCAGGCTGGTTTTGAGTTAATTGCAAGAAGTGTGTAAGCAGTAAGAAAAAAAGGAAAGCCATGAAGTTAAACTCACACAGAAAAGTAGTTGACAATTGTTTAGTTCAAAATTTAAAAAATGGTAACAGGAAAAGAAAAGTCCACACTATCTTCTGTTAGATGATGTACCTTTGTATTTCATGGAATCAAATAGGTTGGAAAAGACCTCTGAGATCATTGAGTCCAACCTATGACCTAACACCACCATGTCAGCTAGACCATGGCACTAAGTGCCACGTCTAGTCTTTCCTTAAACACCTCCAGGGACTGTGACTCTACCACCTCCCTGGGCAGCCCGTTACAATGCCCAGTCCCTCTTTCTGTGAAGAAATTCTTCCTAATGTCCAACTTGAACCTCCCCTGGCACAACTTGTATCCTCTTGTCCTGTTGCTAGTATGGGAGAAGAGGCGAACCCACACCTGGCTACAACCTCCTTTCAGGTAGTTTATTGCATTTTTTTTATTACAGTAGGTGTAATCCTTCTCGGGAAGGAAGAGGGGAGGTTTTTTTAAGTACACAGGGTGCATCGTTCCTGTACAATGACTGGGTATGCACATGTGGAAATGCTGAATGATGTTACACTTTGGTGGAAGGCTGATAAATTATTCAGGGTAGGGTTGATGGGCCTGTGGTGACCAGATAGGTAAGATCAATGGCTGGAAGGGAACATGAGGACAGTCAACTTCAGTTTATTATGTTTAAAAGC